ATGCAATTGCACCTTAGGTACGGCAACAATCCAACAAATGTATTTTTCATATCTGTCTTAACTTTACTGACTGTTTAGGCCACACGAACCAGATACTGGGTAGTATAAAAAGGTTCCGAGTCGCACATCTCATGTAATTAGTATGGATCGGTGTTGGTGTTTCTGAAAACTAATTCTAAGATTCTACTGTGCTAAAATAGTTGCAATATTTTTATTCAGATATCGGATAAACGGCTTTGAAGGCGAGTGATTCTGAAGTAGTTGATCACGAGTGATGAGAGGTGGATCAGATGCAACACTGATATGCACGCCCGAAAAAGATAATGGCCAACATCGAAGAAAAAAAAACGTGCATTCAATGCACACCCGAGACTGACGCCAAAAAAGGTAATCCTATGCGTTTTGTAAGATTCAAAAGAATTGTATATCATGGGTTGTTGTCGTTAGGCAGACCAGTTCATTTGTACTGTGGACATCCAATCGAAATACAATAAGTCGTTGGAAAAAATCGACCTATGGACAACTATGGACAGGGAGAGGATTGTCTCCCACTATGATAATGCCGGACTATATATATCTTTACCTATGCGGCAAAATTAACAGAATTTAGATGGAAAATTCCTAGGCACCCACCGTATAACCCGTATCTTGCACCATCAAACTATTATTTGTTTCGGTCTCTGTTGAACTATTTTAATGATACTAATTTGGTTTTTGCAAAAAGATGCAAAAGTCACTTGTCACAATTTTTCTATCAAAAACGACAGAAGTTCTACAGTAATAGGATTCATCAGAAATATGGCAGAAGGACATCGATTAAAATGGCGCATATTTAGTTCAGTAAAACTACTTTAAAAGATAAGAGATCTTTACTTCAATCTTGATTCAGAAACTGTCAGCATTTTTTCGACTACCGAGTAATATTTATCTATCCTGCTTTATTAGGACAGCTGGACGGCGGATGAGGCTATACTGGGAACACCCCATCACTAGCGTATTATTTTGCCTTTCGCGCTAATCTAGCGAATATAACTTGAGCTTATAGAGTTTTATATCATAGAGCTTAGATTGCTCAGTAACTAAGAAATAATACTTAAGATTCTTCTCAGACTCCAACTCATATGTGGACGGCTTTTATTCAATGAGGCAATCTGGCTCATCCATTATCTAAATATTGCAAAATGTTTTGTATAAAATTTTCTGATTTTCCGTCTAAGCTCTTTTGCATAAGAAAACTTCACGTGAAGTCGATGTAATTATTGGTAATATGGGGACAAGGATACAATTTACTTTGTTCTGTCTGTTTGGTCACGATTACTTTTACGTCCTTGGCTCGCACTCATAAATTTGCTAGTATTGTGTAAGCTTATGGTGATATTGTGGTTGTTTTAACATTGAGGACAAGATCTTTAACACACAAAATTTCGTTTAGCCGGCATTAGCTGAAGTAAGTTACTTCATAAAAATCGTTTGCCTCGGTCGGTAATAGACTCTATTGCGCTGTTATAAGCGAATCTAGCAGATTTTAAGTTGAACTAGTTGGATTAAAATAATATTTTTTTCACTGTGTATTAAAGGTGTGCTCCTTATTTTTTTGTACACTTGCCCCAACGCTTTTACAGATTCTGAACAGTCGTGCGTCCACTTTTCGAATTATCATTTATAGTTTATTTACCTATAGCTTTTCGAAGTAAATCCTCGTCTACCAACTGCCGGTTTTAGAGCATGGCAAGCCTCATAATCACACGGACTTAAATCTGGATTGAAGCTAACGTTGGATCGTATTCCTTTACTCCATCCAGTAAGCAACTGAAGCGTGGCAATAAAATGCCGGGTTCTCATCAAGTAATCAAACTGAGTGCTTTCCATGCCCGTGTCAGCATCCCTTGAATTTTTTCAGAAACTCGAAACAGTGGGCGGCATTCCCTAATTCATTTTGGGCTAGTATCCTATAAAAGCAGATGCCCCTGATGTTTATTGCAAGCGTTACCGTCACATTTCATTGAAAGCTATCGAATAACGACACTCCGACAAAACTGGTTTTCTCCAGGGCGACGTCATTCTCTTGTCTGGTCCCTTTTTTGCTGGCAGTTGAGATTTTAACCATGCCTCGTCTATGATGCCAGGATATTCCGGACGAGCTTTTTATTGATGAAAGTTTTGCAGACTGTACGTAGAATACATTACACTGATTCCAACTGGCCTGAAGTCAATTCGCGGGAGCCCATTTTTAACCCAGTTCCCACAGCTTCAGTATTTGGTTTATAATTCGATAACAGGCTACATGTAAAACCGACAGGGGCCTTAGACCCTCAGGCTTGGCTTTCGTGAAAAGCCTCCTCGATTGCGACAATGTGTTCCTATCTTCCGAGTCCTAAAATTTGCTCACCTCCTCGTTGGTCTTTAATAGTTCAGTCGCCGTTCCCGCACCGCTTGTACGAACTCTGTATTCGCTTAGAGCCTCCGTGCCTAATGTCTTCACCAGTCTACAGTGGATTTCCTTCGGTCTTAGGGAAACAAAGACTTGGGCCCTGGCTGTTAAATTTAAAGACGAAAATGGTTTTCTTTCCGAGCAGTTTCAACTCACAGGTGTCCAAAAGACTAAAGCATTCATCGGGAAAAAATCCGTCTATTAGCGGTGCGTAGTTCAAAAGTTATTTAATTTCAAAGTCCGCCGGACTTGCTTGCAACAGCCTAATAGTGACACCGCGCTACCAACACTAATAACATATATAATTTTTTTCGAGGTAATAAAATTAGCTTAATCTGCTAAATAGCGGGCACTTTCAGCTATATAAGTAAACAGGGATGAAACGTTTGAGGACATACAATCTGAGTTATTCATGATTCAGGTCATGCTCCACTGTCAACCTCTGAGTCCTGTTTCCACCTTCCTATAAACAGCTGATCCACAGAACCACTTGGAAGTTTCTGTCCCAATATCGACTATATTAGCTATATTCAAGCGAGCTGGGTGCAAATGGACGCATACTACCATCAAACCATTGTTTGCGCATTCAAATTGAAATTATTAGTATCCACCATATTTATGATGCAAAGCATATCTAGCGGTATTTGATCTCGAAATTGTACGGACCGGGACCGTGATAATAAGCGTAATCGTTGATATTTTCAAATATTGAAAAAAAAATATGTGATAAACATACGCATGTTTGATACCTTAAAAATTAGTTTGGCATGCCACTACTTTCCATAACAAATATTATCATACAAACAATTGCGCCTATCTTTTCTAAAAGCGTTTTGCTCTCCTTTGTACTCTCATACAGCCAGTCGTATCAAGTTGGAATGGCTGGCATTGAATCTTGCTGCTCACAGCTGCCACTGACATGGGTTTTAGTTCGTCTATTGTAGAAAGATCTTATGAGTCACTTGCAGACGTGGACGCCCGGTCTCTACTTAGCGTCAGCGACAACAAAGACCCAAGGTTCGGCCTTAGCGAGTGCAGGGCGCTTTCAGCGGTTACACGCGTCTACTTATAAGGTCCACATTGGCTAGAGCTGATGCAGAGACATATCTGAGACGTTTGACTAAGCGAACGCTTAATGGCCACTGCACATTGTTTGACATTAAACTAAACAGGCCAAACGATGGAGACAAATAGCGATGCGAATTTTCTGTCCTAATTGCGACAGGTGGAGGAAATGTGTTTCTACCGATTGTCAGCAGCGATTTTTTAGACCACTTAAACGTCACTCTGTTTATACTTCGAAAAGCAGTTGGGATGAAAATTATGTTCTAAGACGGGTAAATATCGCAAAAATATTTTGACGGCCGGATTCAGTTTGACGGCCGTACGCGAGTTCACCGAAGGCAATAGACTCAATTCGATGCCATCATTCATCGTCTGCTGCGCGAGCTATACTTATTTATTTATAGATGTGTGCTTTAGTTTAGCTTCAGATCATGCAAACGTACACCGGCCCGACCGTTTGCCTTCTAATTTTGTTTCTATCCAAAGCTGTGTGGACCTTTAACGAATGCTCGAAGAATAAGGTTTGACGCGTAGTCTTAACAGATTATCCTGGAGCAATTCTCTACGGGGATAGCTCTTTGCGTAAGATATTTATTATACATTGAAAACAACAATCATGTGCGTATTGTAGCCGTAGATTTATTTAAGATGTATAGAAAGTACCTTAAAATGGATACGACGGTGGAGTCACTGGATAGAGTGGACTGAGATCTTAAAGAAAAGTACGCATTTTTTTTCTCATTTTTAGAAAAATATGCCATCAGAAGATTAGATCGAACATAGACAGACAACCTGGCGCAGTTGCTCCCCATATCACTATTGTTTAAATTTTCAATAATGGGAGCTATTTTCGTAACTATTAACACTGTTGTCAGTTGTGTGTATAGGATGAAATCTTGCTAAACAAGATGAAATAAAGAAATAAGATAAATCAATGAATGTGCTAAGTATACACAACAATTCAAGCTACTTTTTTGTTGACCACTTCCTTACAGGCATGACTTCATGAGTCGCCTCGCCGAATCGATGTTTATTTTAGCTCTGTGCCTCGCCAGCAATATAATGAACAATTCGGAAAATTTGGTTTTTTAGATCATTTACCTATAATAACTATGATAATAACTTGTTTGAGGAACAATTATCAAGATTACTAAATGTATGAAAGACTCTAAGCGTCACTCATGATCAACTTGAGGAGAGAGAAGTGCATAAGTAACAGAAGGGCAATTGCATGAAGTGGAGAGGGCAAGAGCTAATCCGTCTTCAGCTGCAGTAGGTGCACTTGATTGACTTAAAATGCTTAGATATTTCACCATAGCTTATTTGTGAAGCTGGCGATTTTTGGACAAATCGATCCGCAGTATCTTACAGACGCGGTAGTATGTTGACTCACAGGTGTTTGTGGCGAGGTGAGTACAGTAGAAGCCAGAAATGGAAGAGTCTGAAGAGGTCGACCTCTGCGGCTAATCTATTACCATGGTGCGATGGAAACCAAGGAAAGGTAATGGAAAATCTCGAGTCAAAACGACGAGAAGATGTTGAAGGCCAAAAGCTGGCCGACGTAAGTTGTTATCCGAGCTCTAACAGGGATCTATATGACATCTCTGAAGGCTCGGCTGACTGTCCACGTGCCCAGGCTAGAGATTTCCTCAGGATCGGAATAGCAACGCCTACTCGTAACGTAACTTTGCTCTGCTTCTTATGGAAAGCCATCACAATCGAAACTTGGATCATGGAAAACGTACAGAGAATGCCCAGTGGAGGCTATGATTACAGCCCACAGTCGCTGTCGGCGTTCATTAAAAAATATCTCATCTTCACCAGGAAGCTAAATTCCTATGAAGCTAGGGGTATGTACGTCTACAATTAACACCTTAAGTAGTTCATAGTTGGTGACATACGTTATAAATTAGATAAAAATAGAAGCATTTCTCGAATATAGTATGTCTGCTAGATTTGCTGTCAATCAGTATTCGTTCCCAGTGGGCTGCATAGTTTTTCATTGGGTTTAACGCAATCCAGACTGCAATCATGGTTCTGTAGATGTGCGCATCACTTGCCCAAGGGTTGAAGTCCTGTGCATTTCACATCTTCTATTTGAAGTCAACAATTTTAAGACTATGAAGTTAGTTGCAATATAATATGAAGGTAAATTATGAATATTGTTTCAGATGTTGCCAAATTTACTCAACTGAAGTGTAAATTGGCAGATCTGGAAGCGACGAAGAACCTGTCAAATTATGACTACCAGCCAAGCGCGTTGATTGCGAGGTATGATGAGGTCATGTCCAAGTGGTACGACCTACGTCATAAATCGGATGAATGGAGGATACGATTGAGAAGTGCGTTTAAAGTGTACAAGACTAAAAACTTACAAAAGCAATTTGCTATAAGGGTCGAAAGGGTGCATTCGTTCTTTGCGGCCATTAACGAGGGCCTCAGCAGGCCTAGAGCCAGCAAGTCACAGGACGAATTGACGAAACTACGCAATTCTATGATGGACATGAAACAGGCACTTGAAGCTCTTCGTAAGTTCAATGAGCAACTAGTTCATCTCGATGCATTGGGCAATCCACATACAGATATTACAGTAGCATCACTCGAAAACAGTTGGGAAAAGCTAATGAAGCTTATTAACGGATGCCAATATGAAGGGAATCAACAAAGCATCAGCTGCGAAACAAAAGGACACCCATTGAAGTTTTGGCTTTTCCGCCTCTTAGCGTTCTCCAAATAGTCTAAAAATGCCAGCAATTATAAATAATATATGCTCCGATGTCTGATATCATATAATAAACCGTAAACCTTATCTTCAGTTAAAGCCGAATTATGTTGGCGATTGGCCGAAGGAAAACTAGTACAGAAAGCAATAGGACAGGTAGAGCTCAAGAAAAGTTCTTCATATATTTTTCTACTGATATTTCATATAAGATAGTCGCATTCAGTGCGGATAGTTACAATAAAAGGCGTCTACCGTGCTCAGAAACAGCGTCATCCTTCAGAGCGACAGAGTCACAAAAATCATTGAAAGCTTTTTGAATACGATGCAATAAAAGTGATCGATTCGATTGGTACTTTTTTTTTTTAGTATGTTTAACAGTGCAGTGACTTTGAAACATGACAATTAGTTAGAGACGTTGCTGAGGCATTATGTAACGTTTAATTGTTGTTTTCTCTTGGTGCGTTAAAGGAATAGAGATAACACCCAATGGATATTTTCGCTAGCATAAAAAAATCTGTACCGGTAACTAAGCACGTGTTTTCATATAATCCTTTGTTTCCGATTCCGGTCGTAATTTCGGCCTCTGCATTAGAACATTCCGAAAAGGAGTACCAGAAGCGGAATATAAAATTACAAGCCCTTTTTGAATAAGGAGGACAAACATTCAAAAACCGGGATAGGTTGGACAGCAACAAGTTATTTGAAAAGTTAGCAGTATCCTTGGTACTACAAAACTTTATCACTTTCGGGTCATTAGAAGGCTCGGTCAGTTTCAGCTGACTAGTAGCGTCCAGCCTGATCGAGTTGCTTTGAAAGAGCCCCAGGGGGTAATCAGTAATTAGTGGCGGCCACAGAGACCTTCTCGTCTTGTCCACTTAATAATGACGATACTCGTACTTACCATGTCCTTAAAACCTCCGGCTTTGATGCTTGCTTGATAGACGTTAACAAACAAACTTTAGGCGTGGATGGGTATTCTCATTCCCTTGGGCGAGAAGTCCGATAGTAGTCCACTTATTTTATAAGGGGCCTATCTGATAGTAGTTTGGATACATTATGTTTGGCATATTCTTATGAAATCAAACAAGATATTCATATATGATCGTTAAGCTATTTGTGCTAGTCTCGGTTGTTGCACGCTTTTGATTTCAATTGTATCGTGTTTAAAGATGTACGGATGAACGTTCCATATAGCCTTATTCCTCAACTTAGACACTAGTTAGAGATACTTTTGTAACTGTATAAAGGCTTTTCGGCAACACTTAGAATTTGATTATATTACACACAGGTTTATTTTTTTTTTGCTGCCAGTCCATTGGTAGCCAATGGCTACCAAGCATCTTTAAGATCGGTCGCCCTGTACATAAACGACAGACATATTGATGCATTTATCTAATTATCTCTACCTGATCATCCTAATTCACCCTAAAATAGTAAGAGAATAGTAAGAATGTAATCCATAAAATATTTCCAAAAAAATCTTAATTCTTTAGGCGTTTTTGACGCATATCATCATACTAGTAATAGCAAAAATAGCTTTTCAAATAATAATAACAATTAATATTAGTGCGTTAGGGTTTATAGAAAGATTCTCTACAAATGAAAAGATCAGTTTTTCAAATAGCAACCAAGCTATAGGACGCGTGCATACTCAACATACTCATGAAATAAATAGAGCTAAGTTACGAAGCATCGAGGATGTGGCAGACTTTTTTTAATCAAATCGAAGGCGGACATTTATCAGGACCTATCAAACCAAAGAACAATGAACAGCAATTTTTTTTCAGGATCAGATATGTACAGGCATCGGTATTTTGCCAAGAAGAAAACAGTGTTTAACAAACCGACGAGGATTCAGCTCTGTAATTACACGCACAGGCATCGCTAAAAATATAACATTGGCAAACTGGTCTGTCAGAAGGAGAAACTTCCACGGTGGTTTGATGAACGAAACTTTGATGGGCATTTATCCAAGACTGTTATGCTATTCATTTGGAAGTGTATAGATTACTTCGCAAGTAGCAACCTTGCCATTTAGGTTCACGTCTATGGTTTTATAGAGCTTTCTGCCAGAGGACATTTTTTGCTTATCTATATTGCAGAATGTACAGAATGAACCATAGATCCGGGTTCGTGGATACATGAGTCTAATAGAGATAGGAACTAACCCAGAACTCCGCCTTACAATGGCGAAGAGACTAAAGTCAGCATGAATAGCAGCAGTGAACGATCGATCAAAGAGACGAGTAAGTAGTCTATCCGCCCATCACGGCCACGAGCATTTTGACACAACCCCAGTTCTGCATTAATCCATCCTCATATGGTATGAAAAAGGAGCAGAGAATGAGTCAAATATCCGTTGTTTTTCTTTTAGGCGCATGACATTTATCGTGACTTGGGCCACTATCTATCGGTCATCGTCTTGTTCGTTGTTCCTCGAAAGGACCAAGATATTACATTTGGCCTTGCTGTTCCTCATCTAAGCGGATACTCTTTACACACAAGCGTATACATATATGAACAACTGATCAGTCCTGTACTGAACAAAACTGAACAGATTAAAATAATTAATTATTAAGGCTTCCGGGACAGCAAATTGTTTTAATACCTCTCAGTAGTGTAGATGAGTGAATGGTAAAAGATACGTGATGTTGCACTTAGAAAACTTCCACCCCCAGTTACGTTCCTAACATCTGTCGACACACTTATCAAGCGCACGCGCGTGTAAAAGTAATTCACCAGTTTTTTGTTCTAAGCTAGAGGTAATTTTTTGAGGCTTTGTTGATATTAATCTATAGGAAATAACACTCTTAATATAGCAAGAAGTTTCCTGATCTATTCAGATCTCTTAAAATCTTGTCATGCATTGATTCTACTCTTTCGTAGAACTACTTATCATTCAATTCATTGGGGATCGAGAAGAAAAGATCGAGTGAAGGTTACGTGTACTCATTTTCTACTATTTACCAAAAAAGGCCCACACAAGTAACCTAGTTTTAGCGCTTAGTGTGACAGCGATGGGAAAGAAGACAACTTTCGACTATTATTTCCCTATTTAATCAACTTGCTTAAGATGATATTATGCTCTGGCCTAGTTGAATATGTTCTTCAGTGGTCATTATGGCCAAAGGTAAAAAAGGTATGGCTGGCGTAATATCTGTAATCTTTCAATGATTCTTGAACTTCCGAGCAGCTGTTTGCAATGGGTGGAGATAAAACGAAAAAATCGATAATAGTACTCATATGAGTTGCTAGCTGGGCTTTAGTTTCAACCGCTGTAATAAAGCCAGTTGGGCAACAGACCCCTTCTTGCCTGAAATTTTATCGCTCCGACCCCATTTTTAAGATATCAGCACGTGACTTTATAGGGTTATTGTACTTTTTGAATGGGGACGCCACTCGATGGTGAATGGTTTCACATACTATCGGAGTGCACCATAGAGCCATTACTAAGCGCTCTCAAACGGAGTCCATTTAACTTCCCTCATGCGGCTCGATAGGCAATATAAAGAGCGATATCCATTTGGAGACCTCGAAGGAAAAACACTCAAGGGAACATCTCCCCTAACCCCGTGTTAAGCCCACCGGCCGTCTTTGAAAACTTTGAATAGACCAGCTCTGTTATCCGCACTGCCTACATATAATATCGCACGCATGCTAAGTTGATGTGCTTAAGTATCCCGGTAGAAAAGTAGGGCAACTTAGTTTTGTTTTTTTAAAATCATTTTTCTCTTTACTTTTCATAAAACTTAATAAACGAATACGTTTATCTTGTTTTCGCTAAGCTACTATTATAGAACAAGATAAGAGAATTGATTATACGCTCGTTGTGCACGTCCCAATTTTTGGCAGGACTCAAAATCGTGAGATCTTGGGTTTGTTTTCGCTCTGAAATTCGGAGATTTCTCAGATCATTTACATACTCCAGTTCAACTTACGGCGCAGCTGTGTTTGATCAGCGTGAATATTGTTCACCCTTTGTATTATACTACATTAAAAATAGATTCCTATCGCGCCATAGAGATGATTGCCCGCTCTGGGAAGACGATTATCAACGTTGAAAAGTTTTAGCAGTAAAAGAAATTATGGGTTTTGCTACGAGCTTTTCGTCAGTGATGACTGATGTTCGTGGTGATGTTCGGGGTAACGCTTATATATTATTTGTTGAAAATTCAACTCGCGGTCAAAAAACGTGTTGTGGAATTCACTGCGGTACATAGCAAAATAAAAATGAATATCTCAATGCGATATCTGTGTTTGCGATTTTAGTCAACGAAATAATATCCATTAGTTATTTAACGTACCCAGTTTTCGAAGATGAGCAGGGTTGTCGTCTAATGCCAAGCTCTATGCTATAGCACCGTATGCTGTGCGAACACGCCCCGCTAATCTGCCGTGTTTCTCCTTAGGAACAGGTTGCCATGTATCGTTTATCTACTTTCAACCAATTTACACGTACTATATTTATCGGACTCAACACTATCTGGCAGGTATCCCAGCGCAACGGACCTCTTTCCCATGCCGAATGTCCGGTACGTAGGAGTGGTCTAATTATTTTCCCCTGAGCGCTTCGTGTCATCTTCGTCATGAGGAATATATTTTTGCTTAGCAAATAAATCACATACCCTGCTTTGTCTACTTTCTCTAGGGAAAGAACGCGTAGAAAAACTATAGTAACTTCCAGGCGACAGCGCGCGCATCTGATGTAACATGGGACACAAAAAAATCAATATGACCGAACTCTTTCCGAAACAATCAGCCCACAGCCGACAATTAGGGTAAGTCAGCTCATCAAGATTTATTCAAGCGTTACTCTGTTGGGCAGCAGAACATTGCATCAACGCTAGAGCCGAGAATGCCCTTGACAAACGTCGAATTGGAGACATGTTTTTTTAAGCCAAATTTTCATCTATAGTAATATTAATAACAACGTTTTTTTCAAGGTTTTTTTTATTCGAAATTTAATTTTACATTGTTGCGATGGAAAAGCCTCAAGTTTAAGGGCTGTGTCGACT